GTCGACGGCATGGTCGATGAGATGGGCGACTCGGGAGGTTCGGAGGTGTCGGCGGGGTAAGTATACCCTTACCGTTACAGTATCGTTACGGTAACGTTTATCTTCTGGTAGGGAGAATGACGCCATGGTCGATGAGATAGGCGACTCGGGAGGTGCGGAGGTGTCGGCGGGGTAAGTACACCTTCACCGTTACAGTATCGTTACGGTAACGTTTATCTTCTCGTAGAGAAAATGTCGACGGCATGGTCGATGAGATGGGCGACTCGGGAGGTGCGGGGCTGTCGGCGGAGTAAGTTTATACCTACTGTTACGATACCGTTACCGTAACGCTAACCTAACGTAGTCAAAGTCCTAGGAAGCAGGTCGAGCCTAGTACGTAAGTTATATATACTAGATATTGGGTATGGATAATGTTAACCCTATCGTAGGTCAGGTACTAAGTACTCAGGGGCGTCTCAAGATGCCAGCTCGTAAGTCCCTATAACGGTTATAAACTATTATAATAATATTAACCAACTAGTAGGTCGGACACCCAGCGCGCTCTACCGGGCAACTCTCTACCGACGGATACGGCGATGTAAGTCCGAATATACCGGTTTAGAACCGTTTCGCTAATAGTATTGTACCATTTCTAGAACTCCTAGGTGGAAAGCACCCCGCGGACCTAATGGTCTCCTTAATCGCCTCGCAGCGGTTCGAATACTACGTAAGCATAAGTTTAAGCAGTGTAAATCCTGTCAAGCTCGTCAGGGGCCGAAGGGTAAAGGTGATCTACTCCAAGGCTGCGAGTATATTACTTTATGGGATAAAATCGACGAAGATGAGCTACCGACTGCGTAATGGTTCTATACCATTCGGGAACCGTTATCTAGCTATCGAACCTCTAGACGATTCCTCTAAATAGCGCTCCATTTGCTCGTTTTGTAACCTCATTAACCGTACCCGCTCCCTCTTTTCCTCGAGTGCTAGCTTCCGCTCCTCTAGCTCAAGGGCTTTTTCTGCGTCTATAGGAGATATTAGTTAACTGCTTAAATAATGGTTCCGTACTATTAGAAATACCTGTCTGTCTCGCCCTACCCTTACCCTTCCGTGAGGGTGTTGACAACGTTCTCTGCGACTGCTTTATAGGCGATGAGTCTAATCTATCCACTGCTGCGGAACTTGACGGCTCTGTAGCTGGCGTATTTATAAAATCATCCGGATCGTTCTCCTGCTGGGTAAAGGTACGCTTCCGCCAAACTAGACAACGTTAGTATACTGTTTATATACCGTTCCGAAAACGGTAGATTAGAAAATGTACTTCGCCTATTAATATTTGCGACCTCACGCGCAACAGGCCCATCGTTTCGAGATCGATTGAGAATTCCGGTTTGAAACTGGATAATCCGCGAAGTATGGATCCTCTGGTCGATGATCGCAGCACTAAATAGTATAAATACGTTAGCGAACCGTTAGGGTAATATTACTATAATAGTTCACTTACGAGAAAATCGCTGGAAGGAGATCCATCCGCTGTCCTGCTCTATAGGACTGCATACCTATAGACTCAATAGAGTTCGAATGGCCACGGATCGATCGGTATGTCGATAAAGGCATAGTACTCCAGACGTGATTAATCCCTGGACGGATAATTGGCGATGCCTTGTTCTTTGCCCAATTCCGGATTTCCGCTTTTTCGTGCTCTAGAAACCGTTAGGGAACCATTTACTAAATGGTTTAATTATACTTACTCATCAGATCTGCGATTACCTGGGTATATGCTACCTGGGAAGTAACACTACGTAGCGATTGCATCTTCTCGATAACAGGGCTATAATCCTTTCCTACCGCACGATGGATTGAACGCGTAAAGTGTACGCTACAGTAAATTACTGTACTCTGGATATGCGTACGCCAATCCATCTGGGGGGCGAGTACCTCGAGGAAGCGCCCGAGTCCTAGTAACTATTAGCGTAATATTAGGCAGGCATTAGGATACTGTTATAGTAACGATACCGCTCGCCTGTTTACTACTCATATCCATCATCACAGCTGAGATACCCTCTTGGTGGATATGTCGGAACCGTAAAGGCTTGCCAGTAGCGGAATCCAAAGTTCGAGAAAGCCGTTCAAAGGTCTGCTGATATATTGCCGTTGTTTCACCAAAGACAAGAACTCTCGCGAGCGGAACGTCTAAATACTATTAGTCTAATGGTATACTACCGGTTGAATACTGTTACAGTTACTTACTATGGTTTACACCCTCATCCCATACACCAAAGAGAATCTCGTTAAGATCCTTTTGATATATACGCTTAAACGACATATCAACCTCAAAGTAGTTGATCTCGTGAAAGAGTGCGCCTTGCTTTT